GCCCCATGCCCACATACCTTGGCCACGGGACTTAAAACTAGAGCCACTCCCAAGCGAAAAGCTGCCCGGAGCCCCACGCCTGCCTACTTTCCACCCCAGCCTTGAACTAGAGCTGCCCCCAAGCGAAAAGCACTCCCCCACCCCACTTCCTCCCCGACCCCACTTCCACCCCCACCCCACCCCGAGCCTCGGGCCTGCCTACCTCGGCGCCGGCCTTAAAATAGAGTTGCCCCAACATGAAAACCAGCCCCCAGCACCTGCCTGCCTAATTCAGCCCTGGCCTTAATACAGAACTACCCTCAAGCATAAAGCAGCCCCTGAGCGTCAGCCATATCACTTTTGGGAGGACACAATTCATTTCATAACATATGTAGCCGTGTTTTTTGCTTTATTTCACATTTTGCATAATTATTCACTAATTATTTAAACTAATAATGTGTAATAGAGAAATATTTTCACCAGCTTTGTGATAAGACCATTAAATGGCTTTATGAGCTTATTGGCATCACCCAGGGGCAGATTATACACCAGTTTACTATTTTTCCAACAGGTGAAATTGTGCATTACAGATTAGTAAATAAAACCAAGTAAGCTCATGGGTACCTTGCTTATTGGGTAATCCGTCCCTGGCATCACTGCTACACAACTATGTAAATCAACTTGTGGATCAAGAAAATTGCTGAGATCTTAGATTCCAGTTTCCTTATTTCTAGCTGTACAAGTAAAAATAAGAAATGTGTTTATTGCATATTTATTTTAAAATACACAATTTTAACCATTTTATTCTGTAATTGAATGTGTCTTGACATCTGCATTTCAAAATATGGAATGTATTTTTTAATTCACCAAAATAGCACAATCCATTCCCTTCATTAGATCCCACTTGCCAAGAGGGGAACGAAAAACATCACCCCATCCAAAATCCAATCCAATTGGCAAGTAAATCAAGGAGTCATCAGAGAACCAAAAGGTCACCTCAGTTACTGTCGCAGATTAAATATGGCATCAAGTTCTTTGTTTCTCTTGCTCTTGAATCAGGCTTCACCTTAACAACTTGTGGTGTTAGTAATGTCCTGGCAATTCTGAAGTTGGATCATAGAAATCTTGAAGCTTCCCCCTAATGGGCTCATCTTGCAACCATCATCTTCCACCTAATGGATCTCTTGCAACCATCACTCTAAGATCCCTGAACAGTCATATAAGATGCTGGGAGAGGTCATATGTAGGTGCCTTTCAGTCTTTGGGGCCATGGTTTCAGACATGTGAGGTTTAAGACACCTTGGATCCTCTAGACCAGGTATTTACTAGTTGAATAGTAGTGAGTCACTTCCATCTCAGCTGCATGGAACAGAATTATCTAACTGAGCCCTGCCTCAATTCTTGACCCACAAAATTGTGACTTATGATGAAATGGTTTTTGTTTTACTGCACCAACTTTGGGGATAGTTTATTTATTTATTTATTTATTTATTTATTTTGTAGAAATAGATAATTAAAATATTCATAAGACATTATACTTGATAAAATAGAGGTTGGTGTAAAATAGGAACACCATCAATGAGATGGATTGACACAGTGATGGCAACAATAGGGCCAAACACAGCAATAATTATGAGGATGGTGCAGGACCAGGCAATGTTTTGTTCTGTTGTACATAGGGTTCCTGTGAATGGGAACTGACTTTATGACACCTAACAACAACAACAATACTTCCAGATGCTGGCTAGGGTATAGAGAGTAACTATGAAGAACCAAAAATAGCTTTCTCCCCTACTGTCTTCCAGACTATGACTGGCAGAGTGAAGTTGAGGTAAAGGTGGAATTTAAAAGGCAGGCATGCTCACACAGTCCACTGCTTCCCACTGGTCCAGGTGAAGAATGAAGAAAATGACAAAGTCCCCCGAACTCATGGCCTTTAATTAATCAACAAATAAATGGGCACTTTCCACCACCCAATACTTTCTGTGGAAGAGAAGGGGACAAGAGCTCAGTAAGGTGTATGGAATATTCCATTTCATGGACCGAGAGGTATGGGTAGAATCATCCTCCTCTGATATTCCGCAACCCTGCTACACTATTTTCATGGGAGTTTTCTGGCACTGAAGGCATAGAACCTGGCAGGCCTGAGTAATGCAACCTTTTTTACTTTAGGTCTAACTGCTAGAAGATTCTCTTATTTTCTAACCCTTTTACTGTTATTTATTTTTTCATTTTTTAATTTTTGTGTAATTTCACATTTCCATAAGTTTTTCTTGTTCTCTGAATATTTCTTTTGGTATGGTCTCCTATTCTTTTTAATGCCAATCTACTAAAATTTACTAAGTGGCGATATTGTACCAAGCATTGGTCTAGGCCTGGGGATATATATTAGCAATTTCTTACCTGTCTGAAGAAACTAACTATACCCACAAAAAACCCACAACCTTCGAGTTGGATCTGACTCATAGCGACCCCTCCTTGGATATCTGAGGCAGTATCACTAGGGAAGTAGATTGCCCAAACTTCATTCAGAGGAGTGGCTGGTGGGTTTGAACTGCCAGCCTTTTGGTTAGCAGTCAAATGCCTTAGGCACTACACCACCAGAGTTCCCATGCCATAACTGTGTTGTTGTTGTTGTTATATGCTGTCGAGTCAAACCCAACTCATAGCGACCCCTCCTTGGGTTTCCGAGGCAGTATCACGATGGAAGTAGGATTGCCCAACCTTCCTTCCGAGGAGTGGCTGGTGGGTTTGAACCACCAGCCATCTGGTCAGCAGGCAAGTGTCTTAGCCACTATGCTACCAGAGCTCCCGCCACAGCTGTAGAGGGGCTTTTTTCCTGCTCCCTGTTTTACCTTTGTTATTCTGAGTTGCTGTGTCACTGCCATCAAAATTAAGGGCTTTAGTCCAAAAGCTGTGATTCCTTAATGCCTTTCCATTTGGAAGGCTGCCTCTAATTAGTGATAACACACATATACCCACACACACATTACCTTTTGTCTCTCCCAGGACACAATAATGAAAGCAAAGGCATCGTGAGACATAAATGTACACACACAGCCCTCCAGGATAACCAAACCAAACCAAACCCACTGCCGTGGAGTTGGATACAACTCATAGTGACCCCTCCTTGCATTTCCGAGGCAGTATCACTACGGAAGTAGATTGCCCCATCTTCCTTCTGAGGAGTGGTTGGTGGGTTTGAACTTCCAGCTTTCTGGTTAGCAGTCAAATGCCTCAGGCACTATGCTACCAGAGATCCCAGCTCCAGTTCAGGTGAAAGCAAAAAAAAAAAATAAAAGAACCTGGAAAGCAGCTGAGAGAGTGGTAATAAACTTAGCAGACTCCGAAAATGGAACCCTAAACTGACAAGGAGGTAGGCCCATTTGACCTCTCAGCTTCAGGTGGCGGAGTTATTGAAAGCCCTTCTAACTGAGATAATATTGACTAAGTCAGTAGTGCCTCGTGACTAATGAACAGGCCATGGAAAAACTCACATGAATAAAACTAGTTAATATCATTTTTATACAGGTACACAAAGCATTTTGGGAGGCTTTTGAAGAAGGAAGAGAAGCATTGATGATCTTGGTGGTGGTGCTTGTGTAGAAAACAGGGCGGGGTCATGTCCAGAAGTCCAGGTAGGGAAGATCTGTGATGGGGAGGATGCTGCTCTTCTGTGACCACAGAGACGTGTCATAGAAAGATGAAGTTCATTCATAGCTTCCTGTACTGTAAATTGCTTCCTGACTGTGTTAGTTTTCTATTGCCTAAAACTTAATGGCTTAAAACAAAGTCTATTATCTCATAGTCTGTGAGGGTCAGAAATCCAGGAGAGGCTTATATGGCTGGTTCTGCATCAGTGTCTCATGAAGTTGAAGTCAAGCTGTCAGCCATGGCTGCACCGTCTGAAGCTTGAAAGACTAGGGGTTCACATCCAAGATGGCTCATTCATGGTTAGCAGTCTCATTTCTCCTCCATTTGGCGCCTCTCTAGGAGAAAAGTCCAGGCTTCTTTCTGTGACTATTGAGCTTCAAGAGAAAGAAAGGGAGCCAGTCAACAAGAAAGCGTATCTCATGATGGACTTTGCACATGTTTTATAACCTAAAAATTGATTTCAGAAGTAATATCATCAATTCTGCTATATACTATTTATCACTCAAGGGGAGGGAATTACACTAGGACATGAAAACTAGGAGATAAGATTGGAGGTCATCTTAGAAGTTGCCTACCACTGACTCAAGGGGTAGGTTAACATTTTGTTTTTAATTCTTGTTCAGGAAATGTAGGGCCCCGCTCCTCCTAGGATTGCATGGGGTGTGGAGGAGAAAGCACTAGATCAGAGGTTCTGATAACTTTGTCTTCTGCTTTGTCTTATTTTATCATACCTCCTCTTTGTATCTTAAGCTTTTCATAGTTTGGCTTTCTGTGTGGGGAATCAATGTATAACAGAATCCCAGTAGATTTACACGAGGCTGAGGCTCCAGATGTTCAGTTCAACCTACTTTCCTACTTGGATGGTTTGTGAGAGGTTCCAGTGGATGTGGGATATTCTCCACTCTCTTTCACCACGAGTATCCAGGAGAGGCAAGATAAGATTGGGACCTACACCTAGGACCTCCAAAATCTTTTGACTATAGTCTTTACTCCTTCCCTCCACCCTCATTTTCTGGGAATCTCCAGTAGCTGTTCTCATGATCACTCTATCTGGGACTCACTTCTCTGGCCATTGCAGTGAATTCTTGAACCTAGCAGAGAAGTAGAGAATGTCATGGAAAGGACTGTTGGTGTCAGAACTGGTAAAGTGTTTGGAGAGTGGAGGCATGTCTGACCTCCTCATAAGAACCATCTTTGGGCTGTTGATCTTGATCCTCCTTCTCCTTTGTGAAGTTATAGGAGGTCAGATGCCTCCACCATGCCTTTTTCACACCATGGAAAAGGAAGGGTGAATTCTCTATTTGAGAGTGCAGAAAGGGTACAAGGCTGAGAAGATCCAGATGTCCTGACTCCACCCAAAAAGATGCCTATGAAAGTTGAGCTCTTGAGATGATGGAGTCGCTCAGGACTTTCCTCAGGATGTTCTTGGTGTCCTCAGCAACTACCTCCAGGAAACGTCTGTGTTTTACCCATCTGAGGTGGCAGTTAATAGAGCCACCAATGAATGGTATGTAGCTAGAAACACTTTGTAAGTAATAAGCTGTATTACAATCTGTCCAAGAAATCACCTGGTCCCAATTGCTGAGACTCTGTAAGTCCTTGGATTTCATGATGTTCTTGTATTCAGTGGCTGTTGTCCCCATACTCTGTGCCACCTGCTGGAGGGAGTCATCATCCACACCAAAGAATAATTTGCAGACTTTCAGACACTCCTCTGAATCATCTGGATCCTGGATGTGAAAAATGTCCTGGAAAGACTGTGTGTCTATTCTCTCCAGCAGGGAGGACACTTTTTTATTAATGATCTCCTCACAGATTTGGAACAGCTTTTGAAGGGGACCCTGTTGCCTGATAAGGATGAGGTCCATTTGCAATGTTTGCTTGAGCTTTGGGAAGTCATACAATAATGGGTCAAGGCTAGAGACCAGGAATATGGGGGGCTCGTGGATCTGTTCATTCTGGAGATTTTTGAGGATGTTATCTCGGATGGTCTTCAAAAGCTGTTCCTCCACGAGCACACTTGTACTCAGGTCCCTATCCAGCTTGGTCCAGACAATGTAGAACTTCTTGCCCATGCTCTCAATGGCTTTGGCAAGCATCACATGATTCATGCTGAGGTGTTCAGACACAATGATGATGATGAGGTCATACTGGTTGAACTTCATTTCCCTCACATAGTTCTCCAGGCTCTGGGGAACAGCACCCATGCCAGGCAGGTCCCAAAGCATCACATTTGGAAAGCAGGAGCAAGAGTAAGGGACACGTATTTGGGTGGTTCTCACCACACCAATGGGAGCCGAAGCCTCCTCGTCATGCTTGGTATCTCGCAGCCCATTGATAAAGGTAGACATGCCATTACCAGAGGCCCCCGTCACAGCAATGTTCAGTGAGGAACTGGGTACTGTCTTAAAAGTCTCCCTGGCTGCAGAGATCACCTTCAGGATGTTACCCTCCATCAAACCCTTCTCAAAGTTCATGGCCCCTGCCTCAGGTGAAATGCTTGAACCCGTGTGGCAAGACAAAACAGTATGGAAGGATGCAGAATGTGAGGAATGAGGGGGCACTGGGGACTCCATTATGTTGGTGATCAGTGGAATAACCTGCACATGGAAGAAGAACAGGAATATTAGCTTGGTGCACAATGTACAACAAGACTGGTGCTTTGAAATGCCCTGCAGGGCTGGGATAGGGAGTAGCTCGTGTAATATTTCTATACCCAATGGTTTGTTTCTGAGAACCTAAATGCTCTAGTGAGTTTGGTTTTCTGAGTCAAGAGTAATTTCATGGACAGGAAACAAGATGGCAGTGCAAGCAGCTGCATGCTCGAGTCTCCCTACAATGAGCATAAAAAACAGCAAACAGAAGAGTTGAATTTGCCCTGTACAAACTGAAACCAATGAAAGAATTACTGCATCTAAGTGAACAAAAATTAAGAAAAAGTCTAACCTCAAATGATACACATTTTCTCTTTTTTTTCTTCTTCTTTTTTCTTCCTCCATGGACACTCTCATCTCCTCCCCACATCTGCACTGGCACTGATTTATGGTAGGGGTTGCAGTTGTGGAGAGTGGCAAGCTGCGGGTTGCACTCCCAGGCAGGGGAGCCTGCTGTGGCTGGGGAGTGTGTGAAACAGACCTTATTTTTTTCCAGTTGACTGCTGTGTATGTCTGTTCATATCTGTCAGGGGACAGCCTGAAAGATATAGGAGACGATCTCCTCCAATTAGACAGCACATGCACTCCCATGGGGCTGGAGGAGGGGGAAAGTTCCAAATAAAACCAGCAGGAAGTGCCTTCATTTAACCAGATGGAAGTAGTTAATGTGAATGAAACATGCAAAAGCATGGACTCCACTTTTAAAGTCTGAAGGAGAGGGGCTGGTGTGAGGGTGCCCTGTTGTTGTTGTTGTTGTTGTTATGTGCCGTCGAGTCGGCCCCGACTCATAGCGACCCCTCCTTGGGTTTCCGAGGCAGTATCACTACGGAAGTAGGATTGCCCAACCTTCCTTCCGAGGAGTGGCTGGTGGGTTTGAACCGCCAGCCGTCTGGTTAGCAGGCAAGTGTCTTAGCCACTATGCTACAAAACTCAAAACTTTCAATAGCAATATGAAATTATGCAGAATGGAGGAATATGGAATTCTAAAAGATCTGTCCTTCCAATTAATTAATAATAAAACTGAGAAGAGAAAGTAGAGTCACTTCTTTTGGAACTCTAGGATAGGATTGATCACTTAATTCAATGAGAGGAACACTTGATGAAGGGATAAGCTGCTAAACTCTCCAAGGTGAACCATGTGCACCAATCAGCTACCATTCCCCAGTCCTCAGCCCCTCTGTAGCAGTGGAGTCAGCTGCTCATGCTCTTAGAGTGGCTGGCTGGTGCTAGGTCAAGGAGTGGAAACCATGTCCTCCAAAGATTTAGGGTTGCATGGTTCCACAGGTGTGGTGGTCTGGCAGACCACAGCAACCACAACGGCCTTCTCCCAGCAATGGCTGTACCCTAGTGGCACATTTAAAGGGTTAGAGTATCCTTATTTATCGAGCCACTTTCTAACTGCAGACAGAGAACTGAATCACACACTTTTAAAAAGTTAGCTTGTAAAAGTCCTTAAACAAACAATTCACTGCAAATTTTGATAAGTGGTAACAAAAGTCCTTGAGGAATGTGACAACAAGATATTTTCTATTTTTGTTCCTTGTTCCTTTCTTGGAGTACAGGAATACACCCTTGAATCACTAGTTAGGCATGGGTTCCAGAAAAGTTGCCCTCAGTATCCACACATGTTTTGGAGGCATTCTTTACAAAAGCAGTCAGTTCACAGTAGCATCTGTGAACAGATGGATAATTGCATTTTTCAAAGATTAAAAATAAATTAATTACATTAAGATGTCAATTCTTGGCAAAGAAAAGAATTTGATTTCCAAAGTTACATTGTTGTTGTTACATGCCGTCGAGTCAGACCCAACTCATAGCGACCCCACCTTGGGTTTCCGAGGCAGTATTACTATGGAAGTAGATTGTCCCATCTTCCTTCTGAGGAGTGGCTGGTGGGTTTGAACCGCCAGCCTTCTGGTTAGCAGTCAGGTGCCTTAGGCACTATGCTACCAAAGCTCCTAAAGTTACATTAACATTATAATATTCAAATGTCCCAATTGTTGGGGAAAAAGAAAAAAGGCATACAAAGAAAGAGACAAGGTTAGCCCAATGGGAAATATAACATGAAGAGAAGAAATCAAATCTGTGAAAGCCCAGATAATGAACATATTATACTATAAAACAAAAAGGTTACATATATGCAAAGAACTAAGGGAAAATATGGACAATTACCTAAAGGAAATCAAGAAAACAACTGAAGAACAAACTCAGAATTTCAATAAAGAGACAGAAACAGTAAAAATAAATAAATAAATGAGTCAAACAGAAATATTAAAGATGCAAAACACAATAAGTGAAATAAAAAAAAAATTCACAGGAAAGCCTTAATAATAGATTGGTGCTAGCAAAAAAATTCAGTCAACTAGACAAATATTAACATAAGCAATTGAAATTATTGAAACTGAAGAGAAACATGAGAAAAAGTTAAAGTAAATAGAGAAAATCTAATGAGATTGTGGAAGAATAACAAGTGATCTAACACATGCAACTTGGAAATTCCAGAAGGAAGTGAGAGAGAGAGAGAAAAGATCAGGAAGATTATATTGTTGTTAGGTGCCATTTCTGACTCACCTACGTACAATAGAATGAAACACTGAAACACTGAGATAGATTGATTGTGTCAATTCATCTCACTGAGGGTCTTCCTCTTTTTCCTTGACCCTCTGGTACCTCCTGATAATCTGTCCAAAGTAAATGAGATTAAGTCTCCCCATCATCCCTTGTAAGGAGCATGTGGCTGTACTTTTTCCAAGCAGATTTCTTCATACTTCTGGCAATCCATGATATATTTAATATTCTTCTCAAGCACCATACTTCAAAGTCATCAACTCTTCTTCAGTCTTCCTTTGGCATTCTCCCGCTTTCATAAACATATGAGGCAGTAGAAAATCCTATGGCTTGAGTCAGTTGCATTTTAGTCCTCAAAGTAACTTCTTGTTTTTACCACTTTAAAGAGGTCTTTTGCAGCAGGTTTGCCCAAAGCAATATTTCATTTGAGTCATTGACTGCTGCTTCCTTGGGCATTGGATTATGCATCCAAGTAAAATGAAATCCTTGACAACTTCAATCTTTTCTCTATTTATCATGATGTTGCTTATTGGTCTAGTTATGAGGATTTTTTGTTTTCTTTATGCTGAGATGGAATTCATAGCTGAAGTCTAGTCTTTAATCTTCATCAGTAAGTGTGTTGAGTCGTCTTCACTTTCAGCAAGTAAGGTTGTGTCTTTTGAATATTGCAGGTGAAATATTCCTCTAATTCTGATGCTGTATTCTTTTTATAGTCCATCTACTTGGATTATTTGCTTAGCATACATATTGAATAAATACAGTGAAATACAGATTGAGTACCCAAAACCAAACTCACTGCTATCAAATGGATTTGACTCGTAGCAACCCCTCCTTGGGTTTCCGAGGTGGTATCTCTGTAGAAGTAGATTTCCCAGTCTTCCTTCTGAGGAGTGACTGGTGGGTTTGAACTGCCAGCCTTCTGGTCAGGAGTCAAATTCCTTAGGTACTACACCACCAGGGCTCCCACAGATTAAGTATAGTGAAATCATAGAACCCTGACACACACCTTTCTTTATTTTAAACCACACAGTATCCCCATCGTCTGTTCAAACAACTATCTCTGGGTGTATGTACAGTTTCCATACGAGCACAATTAAGTGTTCTGGCATTCCCATTCTTTTCAATGTTATCTATAATTTATTATCCACACAGTTGAAAGCCTTTGCATAGCCAATAAAATAAAGGAAAATGTCTTTCTGATATGCTCTGCCTTCAGCCAAGACCCATCTGACATCAGCAATGATACCTCTTGTTTCACATCCTCTTCTGAATCCAGTTTGAATTTTTTGGCAGTTCCATGTCAATGTACTGCTCAACTGTTTTTGAATTATCTTCAGATATTGTTCAATAATTTCTACATTCTGTCAGATCACCTTTCTTTGGAATGGGCACAAAAGTGGATCTCTTGCAGTGAGTTGGCCAGGTAGGTATCTTCCAAATTTCTTGGCATAAACAAATGAGCACCTCCAGCACCGCATCCAGTTGTTGAAACATCTCAGTGTCTATTCTTCAATTCCTAGAGCCTTGTTGTTCACCAATAGCTTCAGTGCACGTTGGACTTCTTTTAATATCATCCATTCTTGATCACTTGCTTCTTCCTGAAATGGCTGAACATTGGCCAATGCTTTTTGTTACAGTGACTTTGTATATTCTTTCCATCATCTTTTGATGTTTCCTGTATCATCAATATTTTGCCCATTGAAACTTTGAATATTGAAACTCGAGCCTTGAACTTTTTCTTCAGTTCTTTCAGCTTGAGAAAGAACAAGTGTGTTCTTCCCTTTTGGTTTTCTAATTCCATGTTTTACATATTTTATTATACTTTATCTTCTCAAGCCACTCTTTGAAATCTTGTGTTCAGCTCTTTTACTTCATCATTTCTTCCATTTGCTACAGCTAGAGATAATCGACACAACCAGAAGATGACTGATTGAAAATATCAGTAAAATTGACCAGCCTCCAGTTGGACTAAGGAAGAAAAAAAAAAAAAAAAAAACCTAAAATTTCAAATCAGAAATGAAATTAAGGACATTAAAACTAACCCTATACCTATTTAGTATTCAATAAATAAAAAGGATCAGAAGAGAATACTATGAACAACAATTTAGATCACCTAGATGAAATGGACAGATACTAGAAACATAGGAACTTCCTACACTGACTTAAAAAGAAACAGATTTCAACAAACTCATAACAAGTGAAGAAATTAAATGAGTAATCAAAAACTTCCCCCAAAAGAAAAGCCCTGTATCAAATGGCTTCACTAGGGTAATGAAGGAAACATTTATAGAGGAAGTGACCAGAATTCTTTGACTTTTCCAAAAAATAGAAGAGAACTCAGTCAGTGATGCTCCTCTTGCTTTGATACCAAAGTCAGACAGACACTGCAAGAAAAAAATCTACAGACAAATATCCTGTATGTGTAAAAAAACAAACTAACTGCCATTGAGTCAAATTCGACTCATAGTGACCCCTCCTTGGGTTTCCAAAACAATATCTTGATGGAAGTTGATTGCCCAATCTTCCTTCCAAGGAGCAGCTGGTGATTTGAACTGCCAGCCTTCTGGTTAGCAGTCAAATGCCTTAGGCACTATGCCACCAGAGCAATCCTCAACAAAATACTAGCAAACTAAGTCCAAAAGTGGTGTGTAATGCTTAAATGATAGTTCATGCATATCTCATTTTATTGTCCTTCATTTTATTGTTCATTACAAATATTTTGTTTGCTAACATGTTGAAGGTATGTGGCAAGCCTGCATCAAAGAAATCTATCAGTGCCATTTTTCCAAATGCATGTGTTCCCTTGGTATCTCTTTGGCACAGTTTGGTCATTATCACAATATTTCAAACTTTTTCATAATGCTTGTTGTTGTTGTTGTTATGTGCCATCGAGTCGGCAAGTGTCTTAGCCACTATGCTACCAGAGCTCCTTTTCATAATGCTACTGCACCCATAATAGACTACAGTATAGTGTAGCCATAACTTTTACATGCACTGGGAAACTAAAAATTTGTGTGACTCACTTATTTGTGATATTCACTTTATTGCAGTAGTCTGGAGTTCAACTTGCAATATCTCTGAAGTATGTCTATACACCATGATCAAGGTGGATTTATTCCAAGAGTGCAAAGGTGGTTTGATATTAGAAAATCAATCAATGTGGTACACCAATTTAATAGGAGAAAGAAAAAGAACCACATGATCATCTCAATCAACACAGAGAAGGTATCTGATAAAAATCCTTTCATGATTTAAAAAAAAAAAAAAAAAAGTGCTCAACAAGCTAGGAATAGAAGGTAAATTCCTCAATCTGATAAAGAACATTTACGAGAAACCCACAGCTAATGAATAGAATGAAAGTTCAACTATGACCCTCACCCTGGTTAAGACAAATAGGCGGACATGACACCTCATGAATCAAAGCTCAATCCGCATCCTGTTACCTCGGTTGGAGGCAGATAAATAAACGTGATAACTCAGTTTCTTAAGAACTGAATGGAAAGAAGTGTCAATTCACACATCCTTTCTGTGTTATCCTCCTAGAAACAGGTGGTAAGTATGTTAATATGTTTCAGGAGACAACTAGAAAGTTAACTTTGGCCTGTGAACATGCACAATGAGACAAATGGGAACAAAGTTGCTGGGAACTGACATTCTCCCCTCTGCCCAAGCCCCAATCAACTGATGACAGGAAGCTGATGTGACTGATCTCGTGCACAAGCGCAGTACATTAAAAATCGACTGTCCCTTTAAACTGAGGTGAAGTAAGTTTCAGCCAGTCCTCAGTTAATTCACACCCAAATTCCTGAAGTTTTTTTTATGAATATGTATGTGGTATTTCAGTTTGTGTGTCAACTTGGCTGGGCCTGGTTGAGTGGCTGGGCAGCTGGTGGTAGTTATTCCCCATGATGAGACTGGCAATCAACTCCATGGTGGGATCTGCCACAAGCAGCTGAGTAACTGCCTTTGGAATGTGGTCTGCTTTCAGTATATAAGGAGAAGCCTTGGGGATAGTAGCTAGCTTATGGCACATTGGACCCTGCATGTAGTGGTGTCATTGTTCAGCAGCCTGCCATGGGACCTTCGTACTTACAATGGACTTGGATTAGTGGCCTGCCATGTGTTTTGGTAACATTGAGACTGTTCCATTTTATTTGTCAACCTTGGGCTTTTTAGCCTCAGCAGCCAGTGAAGAGATGCCTGTAGCTTCAGTGGGCTGGGAGCAAGAGGCAGAGCTGAAGCCCAAGGTCAAAGGGATTTCACACAGCCCCTAGAGCCTGGCACTTCAAACTTGGACTTAAAGCCTCCAAATTGTGAGAGAATAAATTCCTGTTTGTCAAGACCATCCCATTTGTGGTATATTCTTGTTAGAGCAGCACCAGGTAACCGGAACAATGTATAACGCCCCTCTCCTGAAGCTTACAAAACTGTATCCCGACCTCCATTCAGAGAATCAGATTTGGGTTCTGGCCCTTGTCTCCTTGCATTGCCACTTTGCAATAAATAATTTTCTCCCCTCTTAATCACTCAGTGTGTAAACTGTTTTGGCCTGATTGTGCACCAGGCAGGGACCCACATTTGGTCCAACTTCACTAACATTATGCTTAATGGAGAAAGACTGGAAGGTTTCCTCTTAAGATAAGGAACAAGAAAGGATATCTACCAATGTTATTCAATGTTGTGCTACAAGTCATAGTTGCAGCAAGAAAAATAAATAAAAGATATCCAACTCAGGAAACTAGAGGTAAAGATTTCCCTTTTCAGAGATTACATGATTCTTTGGACAGAAAATCCCAAAGAATCCAGAAGAAAGCTACTAGAACTAATAAATTCGGCACAGTACAGGGTCAACACATAAAAACCAGTCAGATTTCTATACACCAGCGATGAGCTCTCTCAGAGGAATAGTGTGGAAACAATTCAATTTACAATACCATCAAAAAGAATAAAACAGCTTAGACCAAATTTAACCAGTCCAGTGAAAGACTTGTGTACTGAAAACTATAGATCATTTATGGAAAGAAGTTAAAGAAGACCTAAATAAATGGAAGGACATCCATGTTCACGGACTAGGAAACTAAATATTATTAAGATATCAATATTACCCAAAACAGTTGATAAATTCAATATAATCTCAACCAAAATCCTAATATCTTTCTTTGCAGAAATGGAAAAGCCAATTCTCAAATCTATACAAAACTTCAAGTAGCTCCAAGTAGCTAAAGGAATCTGTGAAAAGAATATAGTAGGAAATTCACACTTCCTAATCTCAGAACATACCGTAATGCTACGGTAATCAAAACAGTCTGGTACTAGCAAAATGACAGGAATATTGACCAGTGAAATAGAATTGAGAGTCTAGAGGTAAACATGGACATCTATGGTCAACTAGTTTTCAATAATGATGACAAATTCATTCAATGGAGAAAGAACACTCTCCTTAATAAAAGTGCTGGTATTCCTGAATTTCCACATGCAGAAAACTAAAGCTGAACTCATACATCATATTACATACAAAAGCCAACTTAAAATGGATTAAGGACTTAGCACCTTAAAACTCTTAGAAGAAAACATTGGGGTAATGCTTCAGGACTGAGCATTTAACAATGAATTCTTAGATATGACACCAAAAGCATGGACAACAAAAGACAAGGTAAAATTAGTAACTTTTGATCATAAAGGACTTTATCAACAAAGTTGAGAGACAACTATTAGATTAGGAAAAAATATTTGGAGCCATATATAACTCATAAAATATCCAAACTATACACAACTTAATAACAAAAAGACAAACCCAATTTTAAAAAATGAGCAAAGGAGCTAAAAAGACATTTTACCAAATAAGAAATACAAATGGTCAACAAGCACATTAAAAGATGCTCAGCCACTAGTCATTAGGTTGACGCAAATCAAAACCACAAGATATCACATTACTCCCATTAACATGGCTATGAGAAAACATACACACACACACTGAAAATAATATGTGTTGAAGAGCATGTGGAGAAATTGAACTCTCATCCATTGTTAATGGAGCTGTAAAATGGTACAGCTGTGGAAAAACATTTGGAGAGTCCTCTGAAACTGAAGTCCCTGAAAGTTAAGCATTGAATTATACAATTCATCAATTCCATTCCTAGCTATACGCCCAAAAGAACTGAAAATAGGAAGATAAGCAGATACATGCACAACAATGTACATGTTCATTGCAGCACTATTCACAATAGTCAAAAGACAGAAACAATCTAAATGTTCATCAAAAGATGAGTGGATAAATAAAATGGGGTGCTTACATACAATGGAATATTACTCTACCACAAAAAGAAAATAAGTTCTAATACATGCTACAACATGGATGAACCTTGAAAATATGCTGAGTGGAATAAGTCTGACACAAAAGATCAAATATTGTATAATCTCACTCATAGGAAATATACAGAACATAAAAATGTACAGAGACTAAATATTAGTTGTCATACAGATGTGGGGGAAGAGGGAGTCATTCGCAGGACTCTCAGCTTCTGTTAAGGGTGATGGAAAATTTTGGAAACTAATAATGATAATGGCTGCACAGTATGATGAGTATAATTATTGTCACTAAATCATAAATGTGAAAAATGTTGCAATGGCCAATGTTTATATATATATATATATATATATATATATTTACCACAACAAAAAAAAAGAATAATTTCATCTAGTAACACTGTGAAAATGGCTTTTACTTTCCTTTCAATGCATTTTTTCTGAAAATTTTCTGTAACTTCTGCTAGTGACTACGGCTCCTGAATAATGCCATCCCTCATGTCCTTCAACATTTTGGTCACACAAACCAAAATAATATCTTCTATCAATTGTTAAGTCAGGATTTATATTTGTACATTATTGCTTACCATGATTATAATGAATGATGATATTAATATTGATACAATCATTAAAAAACTTTTGTAAATATAAGTTACCTTTGTTGGTTGAATTCCTGAAATTAGATTTGAAGCATTTTGTAGGGCAGGATTGGGAAGAATTCCTGGGACCACCAAGTGGTTTCTGCTCTGGGGTGCGTGCACACAAAGTGGCTCTCACAGTCCTACAAGCTAGAAATGATTTACTGTGGTATTTTCTCTTTAACATCACCTACATTATTCTATGTCCATGAACGCAATTTTTTAAAATAATTAAAATTCAGGAGCTCCTCTCTAGCTGAGGAGTTTCCCCAGGAGCCCTCACATAGCCCTTTCTGTTCTGTGATGGGCACCTATCAGACCCACGGTAATATCCTAGAAGGTTCTGGAGACACTGCCCTCACACTTACCTGCCAGAGTTCTGACCTTGAAGACCTGATGTTTCATCTGTGGGACTATCTCCATGGCCACTTGTAGGTTCCATGGTACAGCTTCCTGCCCTCTACATTCTCCTCTGGGACACATCCCCTCTCATGTTTTTTCCCCCTGGAGGTCCAGACAGCCCTGTCACTACACCCAGATCCCACAGGCTGCCCCTTCTCCAGGCACAGGCCTGGACTTAACTTCACCATGGAAGGAATAGGCCTGAGAGCCTGCCTGGCTTTGAGGTCCAACTCAGGTCCATGGAATGACAAGAAGTTCCTGAAGCCCCAGGTTTCAGCCCTGCTTGGAGGAGAGAGTAATGCTTCTCCCTGCCAGGACTTTCATGAGGATTTCATGGTATGAATCATGTGAAATTCTCTGCAAGGCATAAGGCAATTCCTCCATGAATGCTCTTTGGTGTTAGTAGGATCTCCGAGGAAGAATCTCCTCTTGTCCTTCTCTGCCCTGTTATCCCAGTGTATTAAGATGGTGTGTCTATGAGTCTGTGCTGGGTTCTTTACATGGATTATCTCTTAATCCTTCCCAAACCCTGTTAGATAAGTGATACTGATTAATGATGAAGAAATAGATAAGTAACAAGCCCCAAATTATACAGTTAATGAGAGAGAGAGAGAGATCTAAGATTTGAACCCAGGAGTGTGATTCTGTTTCTTTCCATGCAGAATCTCCAGTTCTGTAGGATGACTCTTGCTGAATGCTGAGGTTCTTTCCTTAGGAACATCTTCATCTAACTGTTGTCATCACTTGCTGTTTCTCCACCTTGGATGTCCCTTCCCTAATCTGGGAGAGCATGGAAACCACGATCTTCTGTTACTTCCCACTCCAACCCCACATTAAGAAAACTCATTGATTTGCGATCGTGAGAGACATTACCACAGTGTCCCCATTTCTCAGAATCTGTTGTAAGGAATTTGCATTCATTAGTGCCTAAAGCATTTGACTGCTAACCAGAAGGCTGACAGTTCAAACCCACCAACCACTCCTTGGAAGGAAAGTTGGGCAATCTACTTCCATAGTGATACCACCTCGGAAACCCAAAGGAGAGTGGCTATAAGTCGGATCCAACTCCTTGGCAGTGCATTTGGTTTGGTTTTTAATAGTGTGTGAGGCACAACCTTTAAAAACCAAACCAAACTCACTGCTGACGAGTTGGATCCAACTCATAGCAACCCCTCCTTGGGTTTCCCAGGCAGTATCACTATGGGAGTAGATTGCTAGATCCTTCTGAGGAACAGCTGGTGGCTTTGAGCTGCCAGCCTTCTTTTTAGCAGTAAAATGCTTTAGGCCAAAAAACCAAACCAAACTCACTGCTGTGGAGCTGGACCCAACTCATAGGACCCCTCCTTTGGTTTCCAAGGTGATATCACTACAGAAGTAGATTGCCCAACCTTCCCTCCTAGGAGTGGCTGGTGGGTTTGAAATGCCAGCCTTCTGGTTAGCAGTCAAATGCCTTAAGCATTACCCCCAAAATGGTCCCTGGACCTCATTTTATTTGGTCAAGAGAGATATTTGCTAATTCTTATCACCCCTTCTCCTCCTGAAGACCAGTGGAGCCCTTCTGTAGAGTAGCTACAATTCAGTAAGGTACTGATGGCAGCGTCTTATCAAAGTAAAGCACAGGTAGTGGTCACAAGGCACTGCTCAAAGCCTTTTCAGCCTGGACACAGCACCATCTTTTCTGGGAACAAACTTGCGGCCAGCATCCTGAGCACCTCAAAACCAGACATAAATATCCCTGGAAAGAGGGAGGGGGTCAGTGGTTACTTGACTTGGCCTGGCCTGCCACCACTGGACCACTCTCCGTCTGCAGACATTTGTAAGCCTCCCTCCCTGCTCATATCTTGTAAACTCTTTGCTCCAACTTCAGTATTGCCTTCTCTATAATAAAATTCTTATGTCTCTGAGCATGCATCTGAGTGAGTTTTTCAGTTTCTGCACACCTACTCAAGATGGAGTCTCAGCTTTCCTTGGTAATTCCCTGAACAAACAGATAGATATCTCTAATGAGTTGGTCACAGAGCTGCCTAGAGTTCAGAGTGAGAGAAGAGACTGAGATATGCCAGGATCATGGAGGTGATGTGCCTGTGCCTACAATAAGTCTTCAAAGTCTTTCCCGTGTGGTCCCCTGGGAAAGACTCCTGGATCCAGGGGACAGCTGAGATGAAGCCACTCACCTGAAGAAAGTGGGAGCTGTACTCAGCTGGGTGAAGGACAATGAACAGTGGTGGGCAGTGCATAAACAGGCAATTCTGGTTGGACATGAAGGAATGGAGCCCTGGACTAGGTCCAGGCTGGGTAAACTTTCAGGAATGGGTGGTGGCAGCTCTGTAGTGTCAAGGTACACTTGTCCTTAAGTACAACTCCATTTATCTCTGCTTCTTATCTATGGTCCAAATTCTATGTTTGCCACACTTGTGTATATTGTACAGTTTGCTCATGAAGGAAATTGTGGAGGGAGAGGGCGAGGTGGTCAGAAGTAGACAAAGTAAATAATAAAATATGGAAAGTATTTTTAGGCTCCTCGAATTCCCTAAGTCTACCCCTTCCCTGTCCTGTTCTATCTTGCCCCTTCCCAACAAATAACTTGCTTTGGCAAATATTCCAGGGATGTAAAGGTCCAGCTACTGGCAGAGGGTTTCCTTCTAACATTGATGCAAACTATGGATTCTGCTTCCATGGAAGTTGTGACTGTGACTGTGACAGGTTTAAAATTTTTGTCAGGGATTCCTACAGAGTTATGTCAGCCAGAAGGAGGGGTAGATGGACAGCAGCCCCTGACTAATTCTCCCTGACTTGTTTAACTGAAGACAACCCACCTCAAGGATGAATGCCTTCAACTGGCATTAGATGTTTAGTATCATATTAATACATATGCAGATCTTGGCATTAGACTCTTCTTAGAGTGCCTCTAAGTACCAAGCAGTTATGTAACATCTTTTCCTTCATTAATGAGCTACAATACATCATTTTCTTCTCCTTATAAAGTACTGGTTGACAGATACATTAACTTTCTTTCCTAACTCGGTCCCCCTATGATCATGCAGCTGTTCAATCACTCCTCTGGGTAGAGGACTGACTTCCTCATGGTGGATGGACAAGGCCCTCACAAGCCTTCTACTTTTCCCGATGTTTTCTGTGATTACACCTGACCCAAGCCAAGACCTCCATACCTGAACACCCTGTGCTGGACCCTGTGGAAGTGGGAGCACTACACCCCATAGCTCCAGATTGTTCCCATTTCTATGGATCCATCTGCTCTGTGCTCTGCTGCTGAGTCCCACTGGCCTTGATGGAGCCTTGACCCAGGACCCAAGGGAGGGATGTGGTTAGCTCTGTGTGGGGTTGGAGGACGCTAAAAGAGAGGTCAATGTGCATGTGTGTGTGTGTGTGTGTGCATGCATGAGTCCCTGAGTTGCTGGTTCAGAGCACTGACCCAGCAGGTCAGGAGAGGCCCTAATAGTTTACCCTGGACTGCCTCTGCCCCTCCAGGGTCCTTTCTTTGAGGATTCTATCAGACTACCAAAGGCAGGGCCACTCTGAGCAGGAGGCTGAGGGCTGCTTGAGAAAGGGGAGCAGACTCTCTGGAGGGAGCCCAGGCAGCAGGACCAACCAGAGAGGGGCAGTCATGCTTGGCAAGGAGAATCAGACTGTGTGAGCTATATCTTCCAAACTTTTCTGACTTGGGACATATTTTACATAGAAATCAATGACATACTCATGTGCATGCATTCACATGCATGCAAATGCCAAAAAAACAAAAAAGGTATCACCTAATGCTTTACCTTCACTCCACTCTGATATCATGTATTCTATTCTATTCTATTTCTATTCTATTCTGTTCTTCAGTAAAATTGTTTTTTAAAGCTAGTCACAACCCACTGAACAGAATTCATGACCTAAGACATGTACAGTAAAGAACACTGATTAGGAGAACCCTGTGAAAAGTTCTAGATAGTTCAGGTAAAACCTATCTATCCTGAATCCAAAAAGGGACTCTTGGAGACATGAAATCTGGTCTCATACCAGATGGGGCAGCTGAGGCATCAGAGACCTTCATGAGCCCACAAATCAATGTGGACCAAAGCCCCAGGCTTTTTTTCCATTTACTCATCATCAGGAAACACTGAGGGAAACATAATATGCTGATTTACTCCAGGAGAGCAGACTTCAATTTTCACATGGCGATCTGTAAAGATTATAGCCTAGGAAACCCCATGGAGGCAGTTAAACTCTGTCACATTGTGTTGCTATGAATCAAAATAGACACAAAAATGTACAACAACAAAAGTGAGTTACAACCTCTGACCTGAATGCCCACCCCCAGTTCCCTATTCAATGAATGGTCTAACATGGGACTAGACTCACAATTCAGGCTATTGCAACTATTCCCTGGGCCATCTCCATGCTCCACTTTCTAACACCTTTACACTATCTGTGATTAGACATATTGCCATTAGGATCACAGTTACCAGCTCCTGAAACCACAGAGGGGACTGTGATCAGACATCAGAGGACAGGCCTGGGAGATAACCCCTTCCCAGATGATATCCACCCTTTAGCATGTTCCAAAGCTCAAATACAGACTAGTTTGCTCAGAAAGGACAGGAGTGTGGTGTGAAGCACTGGGATTGTTGTGGGAAGAAAAGAAAGGGACCCAGAGAAGAGGAGCTGAAAAACAAGTCTTGTCCTGAATTCTTCCCCTGCCAGGTCCAAAGCATTGTTCATGCTCACAGCTCTGCTCTTTCTGGATCGAGAAGATCCTCGCCTCACATTCCAGCCCTCATGGAAAGGGGTTTGGATGCTTTCTGTTTCTATTCTTGGAAATCACACTAGTTCCCTGAATAGGGCCAGGACAAGTTTCACATTGGTGGGGGTCTTCATGGTAACTTTACCCCTGGCACAAAGGCAGACTTGGTACCAGCAGTGCCCAGGATTAGAGTGTCCTGGAACTGGCCTTATCTCCTGTCCACCTCACCTGCCTCTTGAGTGTCCCTGACATCTGGGCTAAGTCAATATTCAAC